TTTTCTCTCAAATATATTTTAGACTGGCTTGGTCAGTGTTCAACGGAAAAACCTTGGTGGCATGTTATTCGGTATATCTTCGAGTCTCTGTCTCCCATCTACCTTGATTTTTAGTACGATATAATGATAATTTAGTTTTTGTATTACATCGCATAAAGGTTCATTTTAATACACATACGTAGTGAAATATTATTATCGAGTAAATGCTCATTATACTCAATATGCAGCATGTATTGATTCCTTGGTATAGATGTGCTAGCAAGCTTCATATAGTGTATGAACTATTGAGCTATAAGATTTATGTGTGAGGAAATTCTGTGAATGTGCATATATATATCGCACAAAACAATTTGTAGATGATTTAATGTGTTTTGATCCTTTTATCATGATGCTTTCTTTATACCATTTTTATGGGTCGCTTTGACGAAGGGAGCGCGCGGCGAGGGGGAGTATACTTTGAATTAGTACAGTGTCGCGGTCAGTGTTAGCATTATACATTCAACTTCTAATTACTTACTTTTGAAAGTAAATATGCTTCAATTGTATATTATCTATTTTAAAAATAAATATCTTGGAACTCTAAAGATAACAATCCATATCTCAGATTAATTCGACACTTTTAGCTGCAAGGTCTTTGATACATATCAATGACAACTTCTGCTTACTCTATACTTTCAAGTACTCAATAGGGAGGTTTATGTACGCACTTCTGCGCTTGTTTGTATTGCTCTTCGGAGATTGCGCTTTTTTTTTTAATTGAAGATTTGATACCAACCCTGCACCTGTTGACTACCCTTTCCCAAAACAGCATGTGCTCACTTGGGGTGGACTTGTTTATTCCACATATATGTGGTCAGCAGTTTTTAGCAATTATTGTTATATTATTTTTTTTTTAAGTACTATAACTTCATTCGCCGTAGGCTAGAGTAGTAGTGCCGTGGTAAGTGTCTATATCCTCAACTCTGGCTCAAGCAATCTTTCTGCTTCAGCCGACCATCCCGCTGATCTCTCGCTTCGGCTAGTATCATAGGTTAGCTATATAAGATATAGGCAAATTACATTTTTGTCTCCTACTGAGATCACTCTAAAAATTGTAGATAGAGATGCTCATGTTTGTTTCGACTCATCACGCCCAGGCCAGCTGATCCAGTGGCTAGAATTACAGCTAAGTGGTAAATTCAAGCGGCGTGCCCAACCTGCAATAGAGTTCTTATATTTGTATATGTATATCTAACATGCTACTAATAATGATCATCTATTTCATCAAATTTATGACGTGTGGGCTGTTAAGATAGACCATAAAGTCATTTTTTCTTACTATACATGGATGGTCAGAATAGTATTGGTGTTTTCTTGGCTCTCCCAAATAAATAGTTTAGAAAGTACCTTTATTTAGAGCACCCAAAAGACTAGGAGTCTGAAATCACAGCTCTGCTTCCCTCTGATAAGTTCGTCCTCTATCGTCCTCTACAATTGATGTCTGGCTAGATCTAGTCTGGGAAAGAACTTTCTGTAAGCGTAGAAATGTCGTCAGAAGTCAGCAACCAGGGCTGGTCGTATCCATGGTGGCTTAGATTCCTCACAGCCTTGGTGGCTGGTTCCTGTGTGCGTGCCCTAGCTGTAGGTTGCCAGACAAGTCCTAGGTACACATGCTGAGAAACGAATTGCCAGGACAGGTGAGATTGAGCTCATATACATGAGCCACAGCGCCCGGCCTTGTTTTTGACCTTTTTCTTCCAAATATATTTTAGAACTGGCTTGGTCATGTTCAAGGAAAAACCTTGGTGGCATTTTTATTGGAATTTCACTGACTCTATTGATTAATATAAGAATCAACATATTTATAATATAAGGTCTTTCCATCTATGATTTTATAGTATGCCTCCTCATTTATATTGTCCTTTAATGTGTGTTAATAGTTTTATAATTAAGGTATTATGTATGAATTGAGATAATGATTATGTAATTTTGTCCTTTAATGTGTTTCTCATTTTTAGGGGTTCCTTTTGCAAATATAGTCTCTGTTACTTTCTCTTACTTTGCTATCCTTTTATTTCTTTAAATATATTAAACATACCTCCTTCTAGTAATTCTAATTTCTGCAGTCTGTATATCTGATTCTGCTCTTCATTCTCATAATTCATTCTGGGTGACTTGTTTCCATGTGTATTTTGTGATTTTTTTTTTAATCATATCCATGGTAATACTTTGATGATTTGCTTTAGCCAGGTAGCTAAAGGCACTGCCTACTTGAGATCACTCTAAAATTTTAGATTGATATTTTTCAGGCCACAGAAGTAGTGTAAATTCAGGGTCCAAACCCAAGTATATTAGTTATCTAATGCTATATAATATATTATTTCAAAATTTAGTGGCTTAAAACATAATATTTTCTCTCTCATGATTTCAGAGTATGGTTTCTGCCCCAAAATGTTTAGTACCTTTATTAGAGGACCCAAAGACTAGGAACTGAATCACCTGAAGACTCATGCACTTACATGTCTGGCTGTCAGCTGGGGATCTAGCTAGAAATGTCAATCAGAAAGTCAGCAACCAGGTGTATCCATGTGGCTTAGACTTCCTCACAGCCTGGTGGCTGGGTTCCTGTGTGTTAGGGTGCCAAGTCCATACATAGGTGAGAAGAATTTGCAGACAGTGATTAGGATATACAGAAGTAAAAGGTTATTCATTTTTCCAAGAAAAGAGAGAGATGGAGAGAGAAGAGAGAGGGCACAGCACCAGAAATAAGAGAGGTGCTGACACTGAGGCCAAAGGACTCTGACTCTGTATTAGGGCAGGCCGAAGAGGGAGTGGTTATGACTGTAGCCCAATTAGCAGAAGACAGCTGAGAAATTGCTGTGTTGGCCTTTTCTGTTTCTCATGTAGCAGATTGATAACAGGAATAAGTTTCTTCTTTCTTCTTGATAGCGGGGGCATCTGGTACCCTCTCTTTTTGAGGAAGCAGGGAAAGTTCATACTCCTGTCCGCTCAGGAACTTTTCAAGGCTGTTTAAACAATACTCAAAAAAAACCTTTTTACAGACAGTAAATTTTTGATGACAGACCGTTCTTTTTTTTTTTTTTTTTTTTTTTTTTTGAGACAGAGTCTTGCTCTGTTGCCCAGGCTAGAATGAGTGCCGTGGCATCAGCCTAGCTCACAGCAACCTCAAACTCCTGGGCTCAAGCAATCCTCCTGCCTCAGCCTCGCAAGTAGCTGGGACTACAGACACGAGCCACCATGCCCGGCTAATTTTTTCTATATATATTAGTTGGCCAATTAATTTCTTTCTATTTATAGTAGAGACGGGGTCTTGCTCTTGCTCAGGGTGGTTTCGAACTCCTGACCTGGAGCAATCTGCCCACCTCGGCCTCCCAGAGTGCTAGGATTACAGGTGTGAGCCATCATGCCCGGCCTGAGACAGTTCTTTTATTTCCCCTCTCTCTTTGGTAGAAAAAAAAATTCTGTTTACTGACTCAAAATCTGGGGAATATGGGCGGACATCTCATCTTCTGTATTTGCTTGCTGCTGGACTTGGAGGTCAAGATTCCCCTACCTGAGCTGAGAGTTCATTTGGGTTATGAAGGGAGAGGAGGTTGAAAACAGCTGGTTTTAAAAATGAGAGTAGAAGCAGGACTGGGAAGGGTCCACAGTTTTGAGATATTGTAGGGCCTCCTGGACTGTAGGCAAAGAGAGAGTTTGTGTAAAGCCTGTAGTGGCTTTGCACTACAGTGTGAAAAACACGATTATCATTGAGGTTCCCAGCATGAGCAGGATCAGCCTGGTATGTGAGCTGTGTTGTGGTGACATTCGTAGAGCCATACTAAAAGTACAAAGAAGAGGAGAAGGGCAATAAGAAGCCGTGTGTGTGTATGTGTGTGTATATATATATATATGTATATATACACGTTTACCATATTAAAGCTCACAGTTCTGAACTTTTTTGTCAGGTGAGTCAAAGTCTGATATCTGTGATGGGCTGGCAGGTGTAGGTTGGCAGACTCTCAGCGAGTTTGCAGCAGGTGGAAGAAGGCCCCTCTGGAGGATCTGTAGCTTCAGCCTCAAGAGATGAATCCAGGATGGAATTTTCAGACATTTAGCTATAGTGGGAGTGGTAAGAATTACTTGAAAAGGACCCTTCTATAAGGGCTGTCAGGGGCCTGTGTGTCTCAGGAGATCTGTGAGTAAGACCCAGTCTCCAGGCTGTAAGTGTTGCTGTCTCTTTAAATCCAAAGGTTGAGGTTCAGGAAGGTGTGTGTCTATACATTCCCTTAGAAGCTACCCGGTCAGCTCAATTGCTGGTCAATTGCTGGCGAGTAAGTGTGGAGAGCAGGTGAGGAAGTTGAAATGAAAGATGACAAAAGGACTGATTGCCCACAGGAGGAGGATGTTTGTACTTTTAATAGCAGTGAATAGTCCCTGGAAAACAAAGCAAGAGAATCAGCAATGTTTTAAACAAAAAATTTTATATATATATATATGTATATATATATATATATAAAATTTTAGTTCTTTCCATAACATTTTTTTAGAAAAGCAAACCTTAGACTGCAGCTGACCACAAACTGTTGTTTAAGAAGAATCAAAGTGAAATAATAATTGTGGATGATAAAAGTCCTACAATAGATTATAAATAAATCTTTATTGGAACATAGCCATATCCATTTATTAACATATCTATGGCTGCTTTTGTGCTACAACCACAGAATTTAGTTGAGACAGAGACCAAATGGACTGCAGAGCCTAACATGAGCCAACCTTCTCTCTGAGGGCCAAGTGGCACTTAGAATCCAACGCTACTCTCTAGATGCTCTCTAGATGTTGTCTGACCAAGACAATGTATAAGGAAACTGTTATTTCTTACATTTCTATTCCTCCCTTTATTGTAACCACACATTTTCAGGTAGCTTAAATCCTTTAGGGAGCAAAATGGGATAAGAATGAATGAATAGATAGGTCTCCACTGTTAAAGAAATCTACCGCTATATATTTGTTATCCTCAGGAAATTACTACAATCAAGGAGAGATTCGTAAGAAAGAACTTTTGCAGAGCTGTGATGTTTTGGGGATTCCACCCTCCAGTGTAATGATTATTGACAACAGGTAATTTATTTTAACATTATAGAAATTCACTGGCAATAAATATGCAGCGGTATACTCGAAAGACACAAAAAACTAATGTGGGTGGATTAGAATATCTAATTTGAAAAGTCTACTTAAAATAGCTTCACATTTGTTTTTAAATGACAGCATAATGAAAATTTTTCAATTTTTGTTCAGGTTTTTTGTCTAGACATAGTTACTTCTCTTATATGTACATCTTTTAAACATTTTTATTATAAATTTCAAAAATACACAGAAGTATTTAGAACAGTATCACAAACCGCCACATGCCTAATACCTAAACCCAGTGATTATCAAGACTTTGCTACACAGCACTTGCTTCATCTGTCCCCACTTCACATCTTTCATGTGTGTGAAATATAACCCCAGCCATTAGGTTATTTCCTGCCTGCGTACCTAGGTATGCAGCTCTAAGAAGATGGACATTTTTCATATAGCTACTATCCTTTATCATCACATCTAACAAAATTAACAATAACAGTAATACTTTGGTGTCCTCTAACACCCAGTCCATATTGAAATTTCTCTAAGTTACTCAAAAATGTCTTTTTATAGTTGGCTTATTCAAATCAGGATCTAAATAAAGTCCACGCATTATAATTGGTTGTTATTCTGCATTTAATTTCCCTTTCCTCCACTCATAAATGGATTTGTTGAAGAAATGGAGTTAGTTGTCATATAGAATGTCCCACATTCTGGATTTCTCTGCTTCCTCAGGGTATTGTCTAAGTTGCTCTTCTATCTTCCACATTTCTTGCACACTGGAAATACAGAGTTAGGTCAAACTTTTGGAGGTGAGAATACTTCATGGGCTGTACTATGTACTTTGCATCAAGTCAGGAGACTTGTGCTGTCTGATTGCCTGACCTATGGTGATTCTGCCATTGATCGGTGCATTCAGATGGCAGCGGCTGCTCCCTTAATTAAAAAACCCCCATCAAGCTTTCATGTAATGTTTTTATGATAATTGCCTGAATCATTAATTAACTAGAAGTTGCAAAATGGTGAGTTTCTAATTGTCTCATGCATTCTACATATACCAGCTGTGTAATTCTTTCATAAAGTATAACTTTCCCTACTAATTGGAGCTGTTTAATTACCCTGCTATATAATTTGAACCAGAAAGACAGGACAGATGCTTAATTCTTCCCCTGTAATTGACATTTTCAGAATAAACAGTTGGTGTGCTGCATACCTCTAGTTGTGATCCATTTTTGGTTGTTTCGTAGATGGAAGAGGGCACCATTTACTTTCATTAGGAACTTATGTATTTTTATATATTAGGTGTTTCAGGTTCAGTCATTTTGTTCTTTGATAAGCAAATTGTCTCATCTTTGGCCAGTGAGCCTCTTCTTGTTGGCTTATATGTCCTTTTTTTTTTGAGACAGTGTCTCACTCTGTTGCCCAGGATAGAGTTCCGTGGTGTCAGGCTAGCTCACAGCAACCTCAAATTCCTGGGCTCAAGCAATCCTCCTGCCTCAGCCTCCCGAATAGCTGGGACTACAGGCATGCACCACCATGCCCGGCTAATTATATATATATGTGTGTGTGTATATATATATAATATATATATACACACACACACACATATATAATTTTTTTTAGTTGTCCAGCTAATTTCTTCCTATTATTATTATTTTTTTTTTTTAGTAGAGGTGGGGTCTCACTCTTGCTCAGGCTGTTCTCAAACTCCTGAGCTCAAACAATCTGCCCACCTCGGCCTCCCAGAGTGCTAGGATTACAGGCGTGAGCCACCGCGCCCGGCCTTATATGTCCTTTTTGATATGACTGCTATAGTCTTGGTGATTGCCTTGCTTTCAAGGACAAGGAGACTTTCCAGTACCGTCTTGTCTACTTGCCTGCAACAGTTCTAGAATCAGCCATTTCTCCAACAAGCCTTGGTTTGTCTCAGTAAGAAATGGTATTTAGAGACCATAACCAGTGCTCTAGGACTGTTCACCCTACATGTGTCATTTCTAGTTGTCACTTGACCTTTATAGTGGACAGACCTAAGATGAATCTGGCTTGTTGTTTTTGTTTTTGAAATAGGGTCTTGCTCTGTTACCCAGGATAAGCACAGTGATGTCATCATAGCTTACTGCAACCACAAACTGCTGGGCTTGAGTGATCCTCCTTCCTCAGCCTCCCAAGTAGCTGGGACTACAGGTGTGTGCCATGACGCCATGCTAATTTTTCTATTTTTTGTAGAGATGGGGTCTTGATAAATTGTTCAGCTGGTCTCAAACTCCAGGCCTCAAGCAATCCCCCTCCTTGGCCTCCCAAAGTACTAGGATTACAGGCATGAGCCACCAATGCTGGCTAATTGTATCTGTTTTTTTTAGGAAGAAAAATAATCACGAATATATCCTCATAATTCTAATTCAAAGTTAATATTATAGTCATTTTACTTAATATCTTTATTTTTGTTTGTTTGTTTTTTGTGGTTTTTAAAGACAAGATCTCACTCTGTCACCCAAGCTGGCATGATCATAACTCACTGTAGCCTCGAACTCCTGGGTTCAAGCAATCCTCCTACCTCAGCCTCCTAAGCAGTCGGGACTATAGGCATGCATCACCAGACCTGGCTAATTTTTAATTTTTTTTTTATGGGGTGGGGATCTTGCTATGTTTTCAGGCTGGTCTCTAACTCCTGACCTCAAGAGTCTCCCACCTTCGCCTCCTAAAGTGCTGGCGCATCTCGAACCACCATGTCCAGCCTGATTTTGTTATAATTGAATCTCTTCTTCTTACACTGAAAGTCTTAGTTTCCAACAATAAAACATAATTAGTTATTTTCTTCTTTAATCTTTTTAAGAATTTCATAAAACATGTATGAAAAGGGACCTATATTATCTTTACTGAGAACAGCAGATATCAAAAAACAAGAGTAAATATAATATGACTGATCATGATACCGGCAATTTACTTTTTTTTTTTTTTTTTTGAGACAGACTCTCACTCTGTTGCCCTGGGCTAGAGTGCTGTGGGCGTCAGCCTAGTTCACAGCAACCTCAAAACTCCTGGGCTCAAGCGATCCTCCTGCCTCAGCCTCCGAGTAGCTGGGACTACAGGCATGCACCACCATGCCTCGGCTAATTTTTTGTAATTTTTTTTTTTTTTTTTTTTTTTGAGACAGGTAGTCTCGGCTTTCTTGGCCTAGGCTAGATGTGGAGGCCGTGGCATTCCAGCCTAGGCTCCAGCAACCTCAAACTCACCTGGGCTCAACGCGAAGTCTCCTGCTCAGTCCTCCCCGAGTAGCTGAGGATACAGGCACGAGCACCATCGCGCTGATTTTTATTATAATACTATAAAAATAGTTGGCCATTAATATTCTTTTATTTTGATGGTAGAGACGGGGTCTCGCTCCAGGCTGGTCTTTTGAACTCCTGACCTTGAGTAATCCGCCGGCCCTCGGCCTCCCGAGAGTGCTAGGATTACAGGCGTGAGACCACCCGGCCCCGGCTCCTGTATATTTTTAGTTGGCCAATTAATTTCTTTCTATTTTGGGTAGAGATGGGGTCTCGCTCTTGCTCGGGCTGGTTTCAAACTCTGGAGCTCAAATAACCTGCTCGCCATCAGCTCCCGAGAGTGCTAGGATTTACAGGCGTGAGGCCACCACGCCTGGCCTGCAATTTACTTTAAAATAATTCAAAAAAATATTTTTATTTAAAAACGCTAATATAGATTAACCTGAAATGGCAAAATATTAACAATTTGAAACTTGGTGGAAGGTATGTGTTTGTATGAAAATTTTTATAATAAAACCAATTTTAAATGCCATACCACATGCCTTCCTCCTACTATTTTCTGGCATATATGAATATATTTTACTGACTTGCCTCTTCAATTAAAAAAAAATTCAGACATCTGGGGTGTGTAGTTGCATGACCTTTTGGGCTTAAAAATATGCTCCTTACCAGCAACATAGCATTTGGGGTTTTTTATAAGTGAGTTTGTACTTGCTTTTTTTGAGATGTCCTGTTCTATTATTGGGTAATATGCAAGAAGTTAATAATACAACTTAAAACATAATAAAGAGACAAGTTCCCTTTAATATGGATAAAGAAAGAAAAACATCACCCTAAATATACAAAAATGGCCAGAGTAGTAGTTTTGCTACTTTTCAGTTCATTGCTGAAAACAAAATTTGTGGTCAGGCTTGTAAAGCCTGTGCTTTGGAAAGCCAAGGTGGGAGGATCACATGAGCCCAAGAGTTTGAGACCAGTCTGGGCAACATAGCAAGACCCTGTTTCCACTAAAAATAAAAATAATTAGCTGAGTGTGGTGGCGCATGCCTGTAGTCCCAGCTACTTGGAAGGCTGAGGCAGGAGGAACACTTGAGCCTAGGAGTTTGAGGTCACTGTGACCTGTGTTTGTGTCACTGCCTGAGCAACAGAGCAAGATCTTGTCTCAAAAAACAAAATAAAACCAAAAAAATTTTTCTCTGCTATTTTTATAGGACAAAAGTACTAAAAAAAAGAAGTTGTATCTTTACTATAACCTACATCTGGTAATGTCACAGTTTTCAGAAACTGTCCAGGGACTAAGCCCAGTTTGGATAGTGTTGCTATCTATAAGTAGGTAGACAATAGCCAATTTCTAAGATAAACTGATAACTTTACCTAAACAGCTGACTTTAGGCTCTGGGACATACAAGAGGAGTCTGTGAGGAAGACACGGCTCATGTGTCTAGAAAGTGGTTTCCATGAGCTAGATTCTAGATACTCAGCTAAGGACCAGGGAAGAGCTGTTAAATAAGAGGCTGCCAAGTCCATACGTAAAGAAGGTCCCCACCACCCTCATTCACTATTTGTTTATATTTGTTTTATTTTCTATGTCATTGCAACAAACTCGGTCCCAATTGGTTTTGGTTTTTTAGGGTTTTGTTTTTTGCTCTTAGAAGTTCAGAACCAGTACGTTAGTAGAAGAGAGAAGGGAGTTACTGCCACAGCCACACGTGGTGAGTAGTAAATTACAAA